AGTCTTCAGAATTATTATTTTAATACCTTTTAGTGCCAATATTTTGTTTGTTCAGAACATGCCTTGACCAGAATTGTTAGCAGCATGAAATGGCCATATTAACCAAAAAGTTCACTTTCAGCTGCTCAGATTCCTTTGGGTTTATGCTGTGTTAGAAATGCACTAACATGTAATAGTAAGAAAAATCTATTTAGATAAGATTTTTTTAAAATTAGTTTTTCTGGTCAGCTTACTGCCTGTCAGTTCAGGTTTATGAGGGAAATCCTGATCCCTTGTGGAACTAATTTAAATCTCAGCAATGCAGATTTAAAATAGTAAAAACCACTATAAATCAACTCAATTGACCCCAATTATTTTCACCATTTTATTATTATATAATACATACCAAGCCTAGGGCATGATAGATATGTTTAAAGGAAGGTCTGTGTATTCAGGGTGTAATAAGGGTGAAAGTTTAATAGCATTATTTTATCATTACTGTAATTCAATATGAACTGCTTACACCTAACTGTTCTAAGAAATTTCAAAAGTTTTAAGAGTTGCTCAGCATATTTTATGATGATCAGAAAGCATACTCCTTTTCAGCAGTTGCCAGTGGGTATTTACTTAATGAAAGACTAGTAACAGTGTCATTCTGGTGGATTTTGAATTAATTAAATGTGCTAAAACCTACTTAATATCTTACCAATTTTTATGATTGGACCCTGAATCCCTTATTTAAACCTGTGTTTTTAGATAGCATGAGAACTGGCAAATGTTGGAAACATATTCTCAACGACATTTAAGAAAGCTATTGCTTTCTTAGGTTTCTCCCTTCTTTCATAGCACACTAATGTCAGAAAGCTTCATTCTTCTTGTGCTTTAGTCTCTATTTTCATCTAAACAGAGAGTCCAAAGCTTTAACTAGCATGGGTATTAATAGCATCATATTGCAGCATCTTTCATCCTGGGCTGCCCAATGAGCTGGCATTCTGCTTGGGAAAGCACATGGTAAAAGGGGAAGGGATCTTGGGTTTATGTAGAAATCATTCCCATTGAAATCAGTGGATAGCCCATTGAACATCTAAGAATTCATTATGGCCCTGAAACAAAGATCTTAATCAGGACCAGTGTAGTATTTATTATATAAAAGAAAATGCTCTTGCTTGAGATCTCAGATAAGATATCTGCTTCCGTAAGGAAGATATTTCAGGAACTTCAATTATCAGGAATAAATAAAATTGGGTTTACACTGACAGAAAGATGTGTGAATTTTAGTGCCAAAGGCGATTGGCTGTATGATCTGTCACCTTTTGGGTGACAGAAGGCAGAGAAACCAAGAGTACCTTCTGTAGCCAAATGCCTGTTTGTGTTTCTATTTTGGTTTCCAGTTGAAGGGTCTTAACATACATTTGATCCCAGTTATTCTCCATGTCAAAATTGCTGGTTTCCTCCCTGCTTCAATTTGTCCAGTTTGAACTTCTGTACATTGAATATCATACTGAGTTTTTTTCTGCTGGATTAAGCTTCATCAGCCATCAAAAATCCTTTCCAGAGACTATTCTTAATCAAAAAAATCACAGAATGGTTTGGGGTTGTGGTGGGTCGACCTTGGCTGGATGCCAGGTGCCCACCCAGTCACTCTATCACTCCCCTTCCCAGCCAGACAGGGGAGAGAGTAAGGTGGAAAAAACAACTCGTGGGTTGTGATAAGGTAGTTTATTTAAAGTAAAAAGCAAAGCAGAAGCTTGCGCATGCAAAAGTGAAGCAAAGTGAAAGATAGCAAGGTTTATTCTCTGCTTCCCATGAGCAGTGATGATCTGCCACTCCTGAGAAGCAGGGCTTCAGCACACGTGATGGTTTCTCAGCAGGCAGCCATTGGAGACAATGAATGCTCACCTTCCTGCTCCTTGCCTTAGCTTTTATATCTGAGCTGACATATGATATGGAATATCCCTTTGGTCAGTTTGGGTCAGCTGGCCTACTTGGGTCTCCTCCCAGGATCTTGCCCTCAACTGAGGAAGGAATGTTACAGTGCTGATGCTGTGCTCAGCAGTAGCCAAAACACCGACCTGTTGTCAACACCCTTCTAGCTGCCAATTCAAAGCACAGCACTGTGAAGGCTACTGAGGGGAAATGAGCTCCAGCTCAGCCAGACCCAATACAGGGGTGGAGGGGGCCTTAAAAACCATCTAATTCCAACCCCCCTGCCATGGTGAGGGACACCTTCCACTAGACGTGGAAGAAGTTCCCTAAAGCCTCATCCAGCCTGGTCCTGAACACTTCCAGAGATGAAGTCAGTGTCTGCTCTCCATGATCCAATCAACTTGTCTGAGATGAGAGTAAGGAGCAGCCTGGGCATTTAGCTGAGGGGAAGTGCATTGCATCTTCAGGAGTCAGTTACAGGCCTGGAAGCAGTGTGTTATACTGATGTGCCAGTCTGAACTAACAAGCCTGTCAGCTCCAATAGGTTCTGCATGGCTCTGGCTCCAGTATCCTTGCAGATGCTCCACAAGCCTCTGGTTCTGTTCCTTCCTATACCCCTATGAAACAGAAAATCAGGAGATTGTGATACATAGAAATCACATTTCCAACTGTGTGAGCTTGAAGGCAAAAGCAAAACACAGTATTCTCCTTTACCCAGGTTCTATGAGCCTCCCAATTACTTTTGGTAGCAAAGTTACCAGTAGTTTGAGCTTTGTGAGTCTCTCACTATAAGGCAAATTTCTGTAGACTTTTTATCTCTTTTTAGACTTTTCATCACAGTGGTTATCTTTTTGCTAAGTTTCTGCCTTAGAAATCCATTTTTTACTCATAATCCTACAAGAATAATATACTCAAAAGAAGAGTTAATATACCCTGCTGTTTCTGTTAGTTCCTTGCTTATGCTTTCAAAGAACATGTTCATCCTCTAAGCCAGAAGTGTGCCTGCTGAGCTCATATTCAATTAATTATCCATCATGATTCCGCAATCCTTCCTGGCATTTCAGCTTTCCAGGACAGTGTCACGACATGAATACAAACACAGAATACATATTCTATTGTCCTTTCGCTAAAGGTACCACTCCTTGCCTAGTGTGTCACCTTAGTGAGTAATTAATCCATATAAATAATGCCATTGTTACCTACTATTTTGAGAAAAATAGCAGGTTTTCTATATCACTGGCATTGAATGGTGTTTGATCTGCTGGCTTTCTTGAAAAGACATTCTTCTCATGAGCTGAATATACGATGATTTGCAATGTTTTACCTGCCTCCAACTTGTTATAGGGCTATGATAGATTTAGGAGTAACTGCATTTTTTCTTTAGCAAAATATCTTGTGGGAGTATATTTAAACTTATTGTGATCAGCTGTACTAGGTCTGGCTGGGATGAATGTAATTTTCTTCATAGCAGCCTGTATGGTGCTGTGTCCTGGATTTGTGACTAAAATAGTGTTGATAACAGACCAGTGTTTTGGCTATCGCTGAGCAATGCCTGCACAGCAACAAGGTGCTTTTTTCCCACACCCAGTGAGTAGGCTGGGGATGCACAAGAACCTGGGAAGGGACACAGCTGGGACAGCTGACCTAAACTGAGCAGAACTATTCCATACTATATAATATCCTGCTTAGCAATAAGAGCTCACAGAATGGAGGAGGAAACCAAGATGTTCATGGTTATAGTGTTTGTCTTCCCAAGTAACCATTCATTATGCATGCTAAGGCCCTGCTTCCCAGGAAGTGGCTAAACATCTGCCTACTGATGGGAAGCAGTGGTTGAATTCCTTAGTTTGCCTTGCTCAGACATGCACCTTTGCTTCACCTATTAAACTGCCTTCACTGTGGCCTATGAGTTTTCTCGCTTTTGCTTTTCCAAATCTCTTCCCCCGTCCTACTGGAAGAAGTAAGGAAGCTGGCAAGCAACTGGGAAAGAACTTGGCGTCTGCCAGGGTCAGCCCACCCCATTAACTAACATTGTGATTAAAACTAAAATCAGCCTTGTCTGACAAACCAAGTGGCACCAGATAAAGTGTAATCTTCCATTTACTATTTATGTTCCCTGATTTGGCAGTTAGCGTATGAAAGGTAACATTCCTGGAATTCTGAGTCCTATTTCCCTTTGAAACACAGCAACATCAGCTCTCTTCCTGTTACCTGAAAATTTCCTAGTCTTCAAAGAATAAAAATGAACAGGTCAGGTTCAGAGAGCTCCTTACCCATTTCTTTTGATGCTCTTTTGTGTTATGTTTTATCACTGTGCGATAATTTCTCTTTGATATTGTCCCTATTAATAGTTACACCTAAACTATTTTACTGTGGTTGCAAGGTGCAGATCTCCCACTTCTCTTCAGTTTATTAATTGACTATTTACTTCTCAGAACTATTTACTTATTGTTTTCTTTTTACCAAACTTTTAGCACTGCTACGATTTCACAGATTCTTAATTTTCAAACGTTACTCTTTTCAGTCTTGCTTTCTGCTCCCTTTGGTTTTCTTTATCAGTTGCCTGTGTTTTTCAAGAGCTGATTGTACTCATGGCTATTCATGCCTCTATATTCTCCACTGTGCAGAAAAACCCATCCATGATGTAGTACTATTCCCAGTAACAATCAAGTGTTTAATCCTATGCTGATTTAAATCAATGGACCGGCTATCAGGAGGGAATTGTGCTGTAAGGAAAACTGTCAAAAATCCATGATGTGTATGTGCTATCTTTATAAGCTATCTTTATAAGCCTTCCAGTCACTACCTTGCTATTTAAACTGTGACAAATTTACAGTGCTGTATTATCAGATTTTTTTTCCCTAATTCATTAAACTAACAAAACCTGAGTAGTTCAGACTGCCTGTCATTGCTCAGCATTACTGTTTACTTGAGTTCCAGTTCCTAGGGCTTTATAAACACCAAATGGAAACCAATCCTGGCCTCAAATATTTTACACAATAATATATCCAGCTGTCTTTCTTAAGTGTCAAAAGAAAAGCAGAGGCATTTATTTCTTTGAACAGATAATCCACTAAAGCACTGCACAGAATTCATTAGAGGATTAGTTGTTTATTATGTGCTAGAGAATAGAGGATGACACTGGAAAGAAATTAAACACAGAATACTTCCAAATATACCCACTTATAGCAGTCTTTTCAATGCTGGATCTAGTACAAAGCTGTGTGTTAATGGACTTGTTGGTATTAGCTGTGGATTTTCTCTATGTCAATGTCTCTGTATCCCTTTGCAGGTTAGTTTCTTTCCACCAGCATCCACAATTATATTGCAGGCTTAAATGTTCCAGGTGAATGAGTTGATCTGTTAATCCAAATCATTACTGAATTAAGGAAAGGTACCTTAACAACACAACCTCTTTCAGCATGGCAGAAATTCATGCTTGTACTGGCTGCAGTAGTTAGTTTGCCAGAATTTCATTACAGCCCTTGCCAGTGCTTTACAAAATCTGGGACGTTCTTCAGCTGCCCTCACCCACTGGGGTAGCTCAAGCTGAATGGCATCAATGGTGCCAGAAGTACGGGAACCAAAAGTCTTTGTTATGTATCCACCACTATAATAGCTCCCATTATTTGGGCTAGGATTGGATGGAGAAGGCACACAAACATAATTGTTATTTTGTTCTTCAATATATTTACCCAAACTTCTGTTCCCTGAAACCAAGGTCTCAGAAGACACATTGACTAGCTGATTGGACAGATGGCTAATTGAGGAACATGATGCAGAAAAAACACCTGAGTTAAGGGAAGATTTTGAAAGTGTGTAACCTAGTTCTATCCACCTTTCAGGATGTGCTTGTCCATGGATATCTAGAATCAGGCCCCCTGACATCTGTGATTTTGCAGTGGTCAAAAATCCCATATAGTCCTCCCAGGCCTGTTCTGCTTGGGGAATTCCAAAGGAGGCTTCTTCCTTTTCCCTGTTAGCATCCATCTTGAACCTCTGTAGGTGGTTTATAATGATATGTGGGAAGAAGCCATCAGTAATATTGTTGATTTCTTCAGCAAGAGTCTGAGCCACCTCTATAGTATACCTATCTTGGTTGGTAGACACTTTGCATTTCTGATAATTTTGAATACTTCCAGGAGGACAGTCATGAGAGAAAACACAGGAGGATAACTTCGCATCCCAACAGCCAGCCTCTCGATCAGGGATGTCTTTAGGTTCCATTGACCCACCATGTGGGACAGAGAGAATCAGGTTCATGTTGCCCACTTGATATTCTGTGAAATTATTATGACCAAATACAACGTCTTTGGTGCCACTGACTTTCAAAAGCAAAGATAAAATGGAAAGGAGGAAGAGATACATATTTTTCATTTGCTGCTGGAAGACTCAGGAATGTGGAATATATCAGTACCTATAAAAAAGCAAAAGACAGATTATAGATCACTTTAGGGAACACATGAGAGACTGTTCAGCTGCTGCTGGAATTATTAGTTACTGATTAAACTTGTAATTTTATTACATGTAGCACAAAGAAGAAAACTTATATGAGAAACAGAAATTAAGAGGGCATTTATTATGGCTAGATGTAACTGATGAAAGGGAAATAGTAGGTTACTGGGCCTCCCTCATTTCCCCAGAAAGCAAAAACAATATTTGATCATCCGATCTGATTCTAGAGAATTAGTAAATCCCAGCAAAATATTGGAAATAATTTTTTTCCCACCAAAGCCACTCTATTTTCACCTCTGAAATGTAAGAAAATTCTGGCAAAATTTGATAGAACATTTCTATTTCATTGACCCACGGGAAATATCTTTCCATTATCAACGTATAAACTAGAAGCTATGTCAACATTAGGCTTCTGTAAAATAAGGAGACAGATAAAAATTGAGAGCTACCAAGCTCTGTCTCTAACTGTACTCCAGTTAGAGTTATTTTGAGACTTCTATAGATAGGTAGCAGTGAGTTCTTTAAGTAGTGACTGTGTTCTCTTTAGTTTGCAAGTCTCTGTCCTCCTCAAGGGACATAAGATATTTTTAAGCCCTCAATAACTTTATCATTTTTTGGAAAGCTGGAATTCGACAAGATGCTGACATGTCTTTCTGGTTTGAAGGCATGACATCTCTAGAAAGATCAGTGTAACTGTGTTGGATGGATGTAATATGAATCAGTAAAATCAGTAAAAAGTAGAATAAAAAAGGATACTTTTCCCTTCCATTAATAAAAAACCCCTCAGTATAGGCCAGATGAGGAGTATATAGACACATGCATTTGCATCACATCATCTGAGTCAGGGTGCCCTGTTGTCTGTCCTGCCCCTATCATTACATCACCTGTAGAAATGCAGAGGATAAGAGAAGCAGACAAAGGAGAAAGAAAGAAGATCTGCAAGACTCTATCCACAACACCTACCTGAGAGCATGTACGACAGCAGCCAGTAATACTGAGAGGGCAGGGTGCAGTGTGGAAGCACCCTCGCATCCGCCACCTACTCTAAGAAAGGGAGAGGGCAATTTCACACAAATAATGCAGCAAAATATTTGTTTCCTGCTGTGAGGGAGTGCTACTGGCTTTTTAGAGATAACCTCTGCTGCCCACTGAGCTGGTCCACTCTGAGGAGCCTGTACCTGAAAAGTAAACATCTATCTTCCCCTCTTCTTTCTGGGCTGAAACTCCCATAAAAGTCTGTGAGCTGGAATCAGATCTCCAAGAATCTAACCTACAGTTTCCTGCAGGGCATGATCAAAAGATTTTTTGGTTTCATTTTAACACTTCAGTTAAAAGGTCCTTTTACTTGAGCTAAAACAAGATTCTGCCTTAAAACAAGACTCTACCCAAGGTCTTGTAAAATTCACACTTCCCTAGACTTCCCTGAGAGACAGACTTGCTAGTTCACAGTTCGCATTACCAGAAATATTGAGGAAAGGAATACTGTCAAAATCCTTTTTCTCAGAAAAGGATTGCACATATAGAGTAAGTCTAAGAATAGCTTACCTCAGGTGCAGTGGGGTCCAGCACCAAGTCAAATAAATTAACAGCAATGACTCCCAGGAACTGCTCCCCTGCCCCAGGACTCAGCTTTCCTTTGTCTCAGGTTCTTGCTTAAAATATGATGACACAGCTGTTCCTTTCCCACCATCTGCCAAACTGTTTGTGGTAATCTGCATCAGTTTGCTTGTCCTTTTGCAATTTCTTGTTAATGATTGAATCAAGCTGTTAATGCTACTAGATCATGCCTTAAAGATATATGGAGAGAGAGAGTGCTGTAAAATTTTCCAAAATGGAAGAAAGTCACCTTGACCCAGCTCAAGCTCTGGACAGACTTGGAGAGTCTGGAGGAACTCAGTGACCCCATATTGGTTTAAAGAGTTTTCTGGACAACATACAGGGGATGCAGAGTGTGGGCTGATGGATAGAGTTAAACCTAGAGTGGATTCAGAATTTTAAGGTAAAAAGCAGCTGTAACTACCTGGATGGACGGAGGTCAACATGCTCCCCAGAACACAATAAACATCTGCTCAGAGAAACAGAATGAAGTGGAGACTACGTGGCCCCCCTCCATTCTAATCCCAGCAGAATGGGAGAATGTTGTGATACTAAGACCGTACAGTACCTGTCTGATGAGGGAGAATCAAGATGTTCTGCTTCTGAAGCGAACAACCATGTCAAACCCCTTCCTCAGGTGCCAAACCATGACCACCACCCTCCTCCCATTAGGTACACCAATCAGAAATAAAAAGTATTTATGACTAGAGCCACTCAAACTCCACTCAAATATAAAGAAAATAGTATAAAAGTAAGTTGGGGGTAGAGGGAAAGTGGGAGAAGACTTCTACCAAAACTGCTGGGATCTTCTCCTCTCCCAGAGGGATGCCTTGAGTGAGAAATATGCTCTACACACATTAAATGCTGCTTTTAGGACTAGAGCTTTTGCTTGTGCTTACCCCATAGCATATTAATTAGATTGCTTCGTATCAGAGCTTGTGCTTGCTTAATATATGTACCAGCAGATTGCTTTAAAACATATTTTTGCAGTAGACCCTATCACCAACAACCTTCAAAGCTTATTAATCTGTCACAATTTGTATTAATAAAAAGTGTTATTCCATAAACTGTTAAAGTGAGTCCTTGCAGTTCCCAGCGGAGGGTAACACCTTGGCAGGACCCACTGACTGGTCCTGGCTTTGTTGAGTTCCCCCTAACAAGGGAGGTTGAGGTACCCTCTGGTCTTGTGAATCTGTTGATGAAGGGTCTCCTTATGAGACACTGATAGACTGTCAGACACCAGGCTCTCATCTTTCCTGGGGGACTGATGAGCAAAAATCTGAACTCTCACCTTTCAAATGACACAGAGGAAAACTGGTAAGTCACAGTAATACAGGGTAGAACTCCTGTTCAGGACTTCACCATAGCAAAAATCACACCTTTTCAAACAATTTGAACTGAAAGGATTGGTGCCCAGAGAAGCACAGAAGCACCTGCAGCTAGAAGGGATATGCTAGAAAATTTACCTGTTAATCTTCTTCAGCACAAGGGTTAGATCCATGTGCATTAGGAACAAATTAACTGTAACAGGCTCCAAGTCCTCTGTTGCTTGTAGGCAAACTTACATTATTGTGAGGTTAAAAAAAAATCCACAATAATTTAAACTGGTAGTAATCACTGCAGGACTGGCTTGAAGATTTACCTGTGAAGAAAGGGAGTTTCTCCTGCCCTGCACCTTCAAAAGTGAAACTGAACTGCTCATTGCACTGGCTGCAGCTGAGCCTCCCTCTTTTCCCAGAAGTCTCTAGGGGCCAGGCTGAGCCCTGCAGCCACCTGGAATAGAGGTTTCACCTGCCCCCGGATGTAATATTTCAAAACGAAAGATCACAAAAAGGGAAAAAAGATGTGCACTGGTACACTAGAGCTACCATGTTTTTGTTCTCTATACTGACATATGTTTCTAGAGATAAAAAAAAATTGCCACAAGCAGCACAGCCACACCAAAGGTAAGCTCAGAATAGCTAATATAATCAGCAGATAACCAAATCCAAACACTGGCAACACGTTGTGATGGCAGAGAGCACATTTCCACTGGCAGTAAGATGGAAGGAGATCACAAAAATTATGCCTCCACTCATTTCCACAGGGTCACTCACGAGCAGCTTGGTTTTGCCGTTCACTGTCACACGTGGATTAGTGGTTCTTTGCCTTTACTGCAAAAACCCAGGACCAAAGACAGTGTCAGAAAACCTTGGCACCTTCAGTCAGGCATGCTAAGTTGAGCTCAATGAGCTTGACAAAGTATGATTTGGCAGAGCTGTGACTCCTTTACTACCTTACTGTCATGAAGAAGCTGGTGGGCACAGACCTTCCTGAAGCAGTAAGTTTGCACAGGAAGGGAATACCAGAATTACCCTCACAGATCTCTTCCCTGGAAAATGAATCTAAGAGCTGTGTTCATTCAGTAGCGAAGAGATAAGAACTGTGACCAGACTAATGAGATTACCTGGGATTCTGATGCAGGAAATTAATATGGGTTTCCTTCTTCTCTCTTCTGTACCTGTCAGGGGCATTAATAGTTTACGAGAATTAGTTGGTAAGTGGGATGCTGCTCATAGAACTTGTGCTCTTGGCCTGGCATGACTGAAGAAGATGGCAGTTGGAATATTAACTCGATATACCAGGTTTTCATTAACTATATTAACACTGTTGATACAATATTTTCCTGATAAATGAGGAGCATTTAAAAACATTTCCTCTGCTAATAAATATGGTTTTAAGGATGTCTTCCTCTAGACTTCTCTCAAGTGTGTACGAGTGTAGTCACGAGTTTACTCATGGTAGTAAAGCCTGGCTTCTTAGATAAGCTAGAAAAAGCTGTGATAATATATCGTCTATAAATAGAAATTTCAATAAAAGAAACATAAAAGGTACAGTGAATGTAATACTGCTACCTATCAGAGAAAAATCAAATTTCCTTTCTAAGAAATTGATTAAATAGTCCAACTAAACTTCCAAATCAACTTCGTGAAATAAAACTGATCAAATTTTTAAGCAGCAAAGACAATATATTAGCAGTAATGAGGAGTTCACCAAAATTTTGGAAAAACTGGTATAAACAAGACTCACGATCTACTAATGTCACCATAGCTGATGCTCTAGTTGTGAGCTTCAGCACAAGTGCTGGTTTTCATGCTGAGTATTTTAATCTATCCCACGAAGTCAATTGCAGCACCACCAGACACTGTATGGAAGTTTAGTGAAAATCTGTAAGATATCCTTGTCCGTTGTAGTGCAGAGGAAAGACTAAGTTTGCTTTACTTGGCTGTGTAAAGGTTAGTTGTTTACATCAGACATAGCGATCCCATTTCCTCCCTTTAGTCTGTGTTCAGAAAGAAGCAGTTCTAGAGATACTTCAGTGTACTCATCTTGGGCACCTATCTCAAGTTTCCATCCGCAGATTCTCGGCTGAGTGTGACCACGGCTCCCAGGCAGACCCCGGACACCCCGCTCCCCTCCCGGAGCGCACAGACACCGCCCACGGGGGGTGGAGCTCGCGCCGTAATGGCGCCCCCATCTCCCGCGCGGGGCACGCTGGGGCTCGTAGTCTCGGCGCGCCGGGGGCGGGGCCACCGCCCTGAGCGCGCGCTTCTTGAAAGTGCCGGGCGGCAGCCGCGCGCAGCGGCTGGGCCGGAGGGGCCGCTGCAGCCCCGCCAGGGACCGACCGACCGACCGAGGCCGCTGGTCGTGTCCCTGCTTCCCCCCTTCCCTTCGCTCACCCCCTTCCCCTGGCAGTGCCGGCCCGCGCCGAGGCAGAGCCACCGAGCGTGCGAGGCGGTCCCGAGCCGAGGTTTTTGGGGGGCACCCGCAGAAGCCTCCTGTACCCCTGGCCCGGCCCAGGTCAGATATGACCTGACCCGACCCGACCCGACCCGACGTGCCGTGAGCGAGGATCCAGGTTCCTTTCCCCCCGCTCTGCAGCTTAAGCGGCGCCATGGGGATCCAAGGCCTGCTCCAGTTCATCAAGGAGGCTGCCGAGCCTTCCCACGTGAAGAAGTACAAAGGGCTGACGGTGGCTGTGGACACCTACTGCTGGCTGCACAAAGGCGCTTATGCGTGCGCTGAAAAGCTTGCCCGAGGAGAGCCCACGGATCTGTAAGTCTTCGTTATGTTTCGGTCTCGGCTCTCTTACGAATCCAAGTTTTGTTAGCTTGATGTTTCTTAACTAATAGTTTATAATAATAAAGATAAGTATATAACAGCTTCGCTTCTTACTGTTGCTTCTGAATTCTCAGTCCCACTAGTACTCTTTTGAAATGGAAATTTTGGCCATGAGTAAATAGTTTTTCAACTGTGCGAAATAAATATTCAAGTATACGTTGGGGAAAAAACTCTCTAAACTATTTTTTTAAAATACTAGTGGCTGTGAGAGTTAGTTTTTTTCTGTCATGTCTAGATAATATAATTTCTCAGATGAGATTCTGTACATGCACTTCATGTGTTTCAAATTTAGTATTATTTTCAGACACCTTTTTGTGTGCAATGATACTTTGTAATTACTGCTGTGACAAAGGTTGTAATGATACTGAGGAATTATGAGAGATGGGTTGTGCTCTGAATAAGGTGTAAGATTTTTTTGCTTAATGTATTATATTTTTAGTAAGAGTAGCTTTTCTAATGTAACATGGATTTTTCATTTACACGGTTATATTTCTAAGGAAGGGAAATGAACAAAAATTGTGGTCATATTTCAGGTTCAACTGGAGCTTAGATTCGGTTTGTGTAAGTTCTTGTCCATCTCTGGAAAATTGGGTTGAACTCTTATTTCAGATTGGACATAGTTTTAAATCACAAAATGGGTAAGGTTGGAAGGGACTACTGGATGTCATCTGGTCCAGCCTCCTGCTCATGCAGGGTCCCCTAGAGCACTTACTCAGAATTGTGTCCAGATGGCTTTTAAATATCTCCGGAGAAGTAAGAAGTTCTAAAACTCCTCTGGGCAACCTGTTCCAGTGCTTGGTCACTTGCACAGTAAAGAAGTTCTTCTTATATCCAAGTAGGAATTCCTGTGTTTCGATTTCTGCTCGTTGCCTCTTGTCCTTGATGCTTTGCAAATGTGTTCAAATCTTTACTCCTGCTCCTATTGATTTGAAGAACTGTGGAGTTTCATCCAACCCTGCTACCTGCCTTTGAAGGTTGTGAAGGTCTCTCAGAGTCCTGAGAATGGGGTACACTTCAGTTGAGGAAAAAATTGTCTGTCAAGAGAAACATTCATAGTTATAGGAAACTTTGGAATGGTTGAATTTAAATACATAAATATTTTATGAGCAAATCTTGTTTCCATGCACGTATCATCCTAGACTTGCACTTAAACTATAGTTTCGCGTGCTTTCACAGTTTAAAATTCATCTGTATTATATAACTAAAGTGCTTGTCTTTCAAAATCATAGTTATTTTTCTGTAGCTCTAAATTCAGTGTCTTTAATCCTTACATTCTAAATGCTTCTAAGTCCCACTCTCCTTCCCCTCCCTTCCCCTGCTGAAAAGGTTACTCTTTTTGTTTTAAACAGTGTCCTTAAAATAAAAAAACTTGATTTTTTTTTTCACTGGGCATCATTATAATGCACTTAATGTTTACAGCAGCTATTATGTTTTAGTTCTGTGCTGCTGATATAAAATGGTCTTATACAGAACTGTAGAAATAACAGGTAAGGAGATGAGAGGTCTGAGAGAATAAATAAAGTCTGGGATTCCCAACAAATATTTTTCCAGGGGATGGGTTTGGAAGGCAGTGGAGGATTGCCTCCTGGCCCATACACCATCTTCACAGTTAGTACAGATTGGGGGACTTTTCTGACTTTTGCAATATTTTCAGTGCTATGCCTGTATTTTTAGTATGGGAAGATAGGGTTGTATGTCTGTCCATAGCATGTATCCACTGTCTGGAGAGTGGATAGTTCTATAAAGAGAGTTTTAATAACTTCCAGCTCTACAAAAGTGCATTTAGTCTGCCTTTCTGGGGAAAGATCATGTACTGTGCTTGTCTGCTTCCTGTTTCCCTGGCCATTATGAATTGAGTTGCTGAAACTAAAAAGACAATCCATGTTTTAACTTTTCAAGTTTTTGTCAGTGTTGAATCCCAGTGTTGCAGAATCAAATTGAATTGTACTTGAGTTCTTATTTCATTTTGTGTAAGAGAGAGGAGCAGTCAGTCCAGTTCTGAGCTGGGAGGTGGACTGTTTCTCTTTCTAATAAAAAAAAACCTCCAAAACCAACCAAACAGCATTCAAGTGTTCTTATTCTTTTTTGTGATGCTGGGGAAATATAAGCTGTTAAGATCCTTAAAGAACAGTTGTCCTAAACTTGCAGTTCTTCTTTTCTGCAAACAGATAATATGCAATAGACTTGTGGTTGACAATAAAGTTTATTTTTCTATTCTTACTTTTGTTATTGTCAATACAGTTATGTAGCTTTCTGTATGAAACTTGTTGAGATGCTCCTTTCATTCGGAATTAAACCAATTTTGGTATTTGATGGATGCACCCTACCCTCTAAGAAGGAAGTGGAAAAGGCCCGACGAGAGTAAGTACTGAACTGTATTGATTTGCAAGCAAGGCAGTGTGTTTATCACTACCGTTAATTTTCAAAGTCAAAAACCCTCAAACTTCAGCTAGGTAGTAAGGTCTGGTAAACTTCTCTGCAGTGTAGTGTGATTTCATTTAATTTACATCTAAAATTAAACTTCTTAGAGGTTTTATTCCAAAAATAGAAATGCACTTTGTAAATGAAAGCCATTTGATAAGAGGAAGGAAGTAAACCTCGGAGCGTTAGTTCCTGTAGTGTATTAGAGGCTTTTAGTTTGCCCGCCCTTGTGATCTCTGGACAAAAATATTTCTTCTCAATATAATTTTATTTAAAACTAATACCACGTTCCTCATCTTTCTCTATAATAAGATAAACTCGTATCAGGTTTGGATTCAGGTCACTAGAAATGCAACTTCTCACTGAAGCTGTGAGAATTTTTCACTAGTGGTTGTTGTTTATAAATTCCCATGAGACATATGCTCCCTTCAGCATGGAGTGAACAGTTTCTAATATTTGAAATTAGGTAAATTATTCCTTCTGTCCTCTAAACCAATAAGTATCCAGTGGCAGATACTCCCAAAATTCATTAAATCTGTTTTACTGCAAACTGAGAGTGGATGCATTTCTTCTTTCACACTGCTGATTTCAGTTCCTGGTTAGTCACTGTTTCCTGAGGAAATACTATAAATTTCCACATGCCGACCTAGTTATCCTTGTCAACACAATAACTTAGTTATTCTTATGTTTAAAAAAATTACTCAATAGACCAGATTTGGGTAGTGTTCCAATTTTTCCCCCCCTTTGTCCTCTCTGCTGTTTGTTCTTTTAAGTGAAAAATAATCTGAAATTGGTGGATGTTTTTGTCTATCTTTTAGGAAGCGTCAAGCCAGTCTTCTGAAGGGGAAACAATTGTTGCAGGAAGGGAAACTGTCAGAAGCCAGGGAATGTTTTGGACGCAGTGTAAATGTTACTCATGCTATGGCTCGTGAAGTTATTAAAGTAAGTTGTCAATACTGTTGATAATGCCAGTTTTTTAAAAAAATATGCTGTAGGTAGCGTGTCTTAGTCTGCATTTTTATGGCTACATCACTGCCTCTTCTATGTAGGCAAGAAAAACACTCCTTCCTTCTCAGTCTCTAGTTGTCCTACATATTACAGGACTGTGTTAAGCACAGTTAACAAACTTTAACTTCACTTACAGTTTATTATGCCCAGTTGTATAAATAATAATGATTGTCAGTTGAAATACATCTCTTCTTACTGCTATGAACTGAATTTGATAACACCTCAGTTTTACTTCTGATGCACAAAAACTAATCACAATTATTAGTTTTTTATCCTTTTCCCCTCAGCTAGTTTCTGAGCATAGACTGCAGAAAAAAAATTGGCCACCTAAAAACTGTTCTAGTAGCTTTTTGCTATGCTTCCACTGCAGTTATAGGATATTTATCAAAACAGTATCAAGTTTATTCTGCTGGTGTTTTCCTCTGTCCAGAATATAATTTGCATGAGCTTGAAGCTGGCACCTGTGGTCAGATGTAGTGACCGTGGTGTTACAGGCCAACACAGGAAAGGCTGTTTTTGTAAACTAGTCTGTATAGATCTAAACTGTTTGAAACTTGAGGTTTTGAATATAAAATATCAGGCTCTAATGGGGCAGGATGGGTGTGTGATTAAAAAGATCGTGGTTTTGGCTTTTAACATAGAGGTTCTTATGCTTTCAGATCTCTTAAGGTAATTACTGCAAATTGATGCAAAGTACTTGTGTGCTTCTTGTTTACCTACAGGCTGCACGAGCCCGAGGAGTTGATTGCATTGTTGCTCCTTATGAAGCTGATGCTCAGTTGGCTTATCTTAATAAGATTGGCATTGTTCAAGCTATAATTACAGAAGACTCTGATCTTTTAGCTTTTGGATGTAAAAAGGTATGGAAGAAAATACTAACAGCTTT